GCCCAGGCGGGTCTCGAACCCGCGAACTCAGGCAATCCACTCACCTCAGCCTCCCAAGGCACGGAATTACAGGCTGAGCCACCAAGCCTGGCTAATGTTGTATTTTTAAAGCTCTTGTATAATGCAGTAGAGCTTAGACTTCATTAGTGCTTTGAGTGTATCAATCTAAGTGTTTTTCATAAATGGTGTGGTGACTGGTCAGTGCACCCTTCTCATCGGGGCCACAGCTCATCGGGGTCACAGCTCACAGCACAGCTACCACGGCAGGGACAACTGGCATTTAGATTGGAACTCCTGAGTTTCAAGTGTTGGAGGGATCTGACCACAGGTAGGGTGGCTGCGAGTAAGTAGAGGAAGTAGAAACCCCACTATTTGCACAGTAAGTCAGTGATTTGTGAGGTGAGAGGGCACCTCACTTCATTGATAGAAAGTTACATGCTAATCATCTCGTGGAGTGATCTCTGAGCACTGAGGCATGTTTTGAGCCTCTGCACGAGTGAAAGACCCCAGTTTCTGTGCCCTGGGAGATGGTGGAGATGGGGACTTTGTCTCTCTGAGAATTCACTACTCTGGAGACTCAGCTCTGAAGTCAGGTGATATCTCTCCGCGCAGGCCAGTTGTGGGGCATTTGGCTGGTACTGGACTAAACTGGACACCAGCACTGAGCCAGGCAGGACGCGTGTCCTCTGGTGAAGGCTGCCGAGGAGGTGCTGTGGGTTGTGCACTGAAGGATGTGTGCGTTAGGAAAGTCTCCTAGGCTTCTTTCCATTCATGGGAAATTAAGTAAAAAGAATGTAAAAAAACCTTCATTTTCCATGTTACTTAACTTTGCCAGTGAGCAAAGAAGTGATTGGATTTTCTTCTTCAAATGTTATTTTATTATTTTATTCCTAAGTGTCTTTTAACAAGTGATTGTGACTTTCCTTTGGCTGAGAGAGAGGTTGGCCTCGTGGCAGGTTAAGGTACTAACCATAATCGCCACTGGGACAACCTCAGCCAGGAGGGACATGGTTGTCTTTGAATGTTTTGATTAGGTTTGAGTGATGACATTGTCCTTTGTTTATATGTTAATGCAATTTCATCATTAGTAAGAATCTTTATTATACTTAACACTGTGTCAGAGACAGTGTATTTTCTATATTTCAAGAGCAAAGTTTGTGAAATAGTTTCAATAACACCGTTTAAATTAAACCTTTCCCTCCCATCTTTTCTTGTTTTCACAGCATTTTTTGGATATGAAGTTATGTTTAATTGTTTTAATATCAAAGAAATGCCAATTATTAAAAATATAGCATATATTTATATATTATATATTAAAATATGCATCTTACTTTTTTTTTTTTTGTTTTCTTTTGAGTTGGAGTCTCACTCTGTCGCCCAGACTGGAATGCAATGGCCGCTCCCGGCCACCGCAGCCTCCACCTGCTGGGCTCCAGCGATCCTTCTACCTCCGCCTTCCAAGTAGCTGGAATTACAGGCGTGTGCTACCACACCCGGCTAATGTTTTGATTTATTGGAGAGATGAGGTCTCACCGAGTTGCCCAGGCGGGTCTCGAACCCGCGGGCTCAGGCAATCCACTCACCTCAGCCTCCCAAGACGCAGGATTACAGGCTGAGCCACCGAGCTGGCTATGTATTTTTATAAAATATATTAAAAATACTGCAATTACTGAATTGGATATTCCAGCAGAACTTTGTAAAATTGTAATATTAACCAAGAAGAGCGTTCATAAAAATGAAGTTCATAGCACCTTTGGTCTTTACGGTTTTCACATCTTCTATCTTAACCATTCTGGGTCCTCTTTTGCTCCTTGAAACCCCTCACCCGAAAGTCACATATTTCAGAACACTTAAAAGTAAAATGATTAACTATTATCTTGAATTACGTAAGCAGATTCCAAGAGAGTGGTTCTGATGTTGCATTTTTCTTAAGTTTTTTAAAATAAAAATTGTTTTATTTTATAATATATAACATTATACACATAACATAAAATTTGCTGTTTCAACCATTTTTAAGTGTTTAGTTCAGTGGCATTAAGTAAATTTGTATTATTATGCCACCACCATTTCCAGAACTTTTCCATTACCCCAAACAGAAATTTGTACCCATTAAACTCCCCATTCCCACCTTCCTCCAGACCTGGAGAACCTCTGTTCTACTTTGTGTCTCTGAATTTGCCTATTCCAGGGACCTTATGTAAGTGGGACTCTTATGTATTTTCGAGGTTCATCCACATTATAGCATGTGTTAGAATTTCCTTTTTTTAACAGCCACATAATATTTCATTATATGTATGTGCTACATTTAAAAAAAATCATCTGCCAGTAGACATTTGGATTGTCACTGCTGTCAGTGCTGCTGTGAACATCAGTGTGCAAATATCTGGGTCTTTGCTTTCAGTTATTTGGGGTATATGCCTAGAAATGACCTTGCTGGGTCGTATGGTAATTCTGTGTTTAATTGTTTGAAGAACCACTGTACTGTTTTCCTGGTGGCTGCACCATTTTATATTCCCACTGGCAGTGCACAAGGGTTCTGATTTCTCTACCTCCTCACCAACACTAACTGTTTTCTGATTTTTGGCTTGGTTTTTTGATAATAGCCATCCCTGGTGTGCAGTGTTAAATTACTGTGACTTTGGTTTGCATTTCTGTAGTGGCTGGTGATATGGAGCATCATTTCATGTGCTTAAGGACCATTTGTGTATCTTCCTTGAAAAAATGTCTGCCAGAGTCCTGTGCACATTTTTGAATTGTTGTCACAGTGTTTTTCTGTAACTCCTATGTTCTCATTAAATTGATTGGAGTGGATTTTAAAAAATGATCTGCTGTAGACCCAAATGTGTAGAAATTTTGGCAGGCTCTGTCTAACCCGTGCTTTCTGGTAACTTCTCTTTGCTCCATTACCTGGGAACGTAGACTAGAGAAGAATGGCCTGTATTTTTCCAATCTACTGGGAAGGAGTCCGGTGTCTTTGCTTTGCACACTGCTGGGGAAGCATGAGGAGGCAGGCGCAGCGTGCAGAGAAGACAGCTGTGAGCCAGCCCATCTGCGGCCCCCTTCCCCTCCGCAGTGGCCCTCGAGGCGGGAGCGTGTGTCGCCTGCAGTGTCGTGTCCTGCTTCGTGGCTGGCGAGGTGTCTGACGCTGTCCTTTTGCTCACAGCACTGTGACCTCTGCTGTGTTCACCGTGGGAGACAACGTAGTTTCAGGCAGCGATGACCGCACGGTGAAAGTGTGGGATTTGAAGAATATGAGGTCCCCCATCGCAACCATCCGCACAGACTCTGCCATCAACAGGTGAGCACAGCGGACTTGCACAAGACGCGTGACCTGATGAGAGGCGATGGTGGGAGCTTCATGTCTGAGTGGTGAAGATGTCGTGCTCAACTGGTACAGCCTTGGGAAACGTAGTGCAGGCTCCTGGCAAAGTATATTTTACTCATCCTATAGTGCGATTTCCACATTTCATTAAGCACTTACACTTATTCAGTATAAAATCAGCAGGTCGTAGTGAGATTTGTAGGAACATGCGTGAGCGGTGGATGGTGGCATGGTGGGGCTTTTGGCACTCCCGGTGAGGACTGCTCGTATGTGGGTGGGCTGCGCGCACCACTGAAGGTTGTGTGTGTGTGTGTGCCGCGCATGCATACGCAGGACTCTTCCAGTGCTGTGAGCAGATGGCACCTGCAGTGTGCTCGTGGCGTCTGCCTTGAAACATGAATCGTTTGGGATACCCTACATTATTATCTGTGTCTCAAAACTTAAACTGTCACTGTCTCACAAACAACTAACTCACTTTATCTCTTCTGCAGGATCAATGTATGTGTTGGCCAAAAGATCATAGCCCTCCCCCATGACAACCGACAAGTGAGGTTGTTTGACATGTCAGGAGTGCGGCTGGCACGGCTTCCCCGGAGCAGCCGACAGGTAACAGCACTGCGAGTATGCGGTCATAGAGCATGGTGGGAGAGTGGGAGCTCGCATCTCTAGTCACTGTGATCTCACGGAAGCAGAGTGTGAGCCCATGTGGATGCTAAAAAAGAGGAACAAGTGAAATTCATTTTAACAGTTTATTTTATTTATAAAATTTTACAAATTTTTTAAGGAGGTAGCATTGCTCCAGGCTGTGCTTAATTGAGCCCCATGGCAGGGCGGGTCACTCTCTTGTCTTTTTATCTTTTCTGAGTCCCAGATGGATACCTGTGTGATCAGCCAGTCAGTTTGCTCTGTTCTTGTTAAATGAACTTACTCCTGGAGGCCTCTGGTCAGTATGCATGTACACGCGGGCATCGCTGCCCCCTGGGCCTCCCTGCTCCTGTGCCCTCCCTGCTAGTGGTCTCCTGGCTCATGAGCCCCCACCAGCTAGCGTGGTTCGAGAAGGGCGTCAGACACTGCAGGTGGGGGGGCGGTCAGGGAGGCGCGTGGTAAAGGGGCTAGTGCCAGCGCCTTTTTGTCAAGCGGCACACATTTAGGGAAATGATCTGTCCTTGACACAGAGTGGGCTTGAAGTCATTCTCTTTGGTGGCTTATAAGCACACTGTTCGAAGTTAGTTGTTGATCTTTTTACTGTCTGCTTGCACTGTGTAGAAGAATTGATTCACTCGTGAAATGAGAGTAACCAAGGAAAGCTTCACGGCCCCCAATAAAAGCCATAAATTGCTTGTCCAGCACGAATTTATGTTTTGATAACCAAGTATTATTGATGTGTTATCTAAACTGAATCTTTTTTTTTTTTGAGTTGGGTTCTCACTCTGTTTACCAGGCTGGAGTACAGTGCAAGGCTCACTGCACTGTAGCCTTGACCTTCTGGGCTCAGATGATCTTCCTGCCTCAGCCTCTTGAGTAGCTGGGCTTACAAGCATGCACCACTACATCTAGCTATATTTGGGGTTTTTTTTTTTGGTAGAGATGGAGTCTTGCTATGTTTCACAGGCTGGTCTCGAACTCCTGACCTCAAGCAGTTCTCCCACCTCACTTCCCAAAGTGTTGGGATTATAGGCTTGTGCCACTAAGGCCTGCTAAATATTATTAATTTTTTTTTTTTGGTTTTTTTTGAGTCGGAGTCTCACTCTGTCGCCCAGACTGGAGTGCAG